GCTGTCACTAAGATGTGGGTTTTTCTATTCACATGAGTTTCCCAGACATCTGAAGCTTACTGCTTTTATTTTGAAATGTTCTTTGGACATAACTATTTTGAAATAGGGTTGGATACGCTTTTTATTTTTACATTCTCTTGGTTATAATTAAACATACTTAATTATTATTTTAAAAGAACAAAAATGCCCTCAGAACTATTGAAGTTGGAGAGTTGCCTTATTCCTCACTAAACCATTTAAGCCTTTTTGCTTTCCTCTGTTTCCTCCCTTTTCACTGTCAGCATGTTTCTCTTAGCAGTCTTGCTGTCATTCAGTTACTGATTTTCCTCTTCTGTGGCCTAGAAAGCCAAGTAAATAAATTTCTTAAAACTCTGAGTAAGTTGCAAGTGATTAGGTTAAAATATGAGGGGGGGTCCTCTTTCACTGAAGTATATATAGACTTTAGTACTCTATGAACTTTTGTTTGCTTCTTAGCTTTTTTTCTGGAAAGGTAGCATCGGCAGATAGTGACCTGAAGCTAAATGAGTTAATATTATGCTAGGGTGCTCTTTTCAGCTTTTGGATACGTGGTTTCAGTTCTAGGCCAGCTTTATATGGAGACACGGCAAACAGCCACCCACTCCCCTTACCACTCTGAAGCCCTTTACTCCTGCTTGCTGATATTACTTGACATTTCGTATATATTGGGCTGGCCAAAAGTTTCATTCGTTTTTTTCCGTAAGGTGGCTCTAGTAGCACTTAGTTGTCTTTAACTGCATTTGAAACAATTTTGTTAGATTGTATGTGACAGCTGTCATATCAGCGTCATTTAAAAAAGATTTATCAGGCTTCCCTGGTGGCACAGTGGTTGAGAGTCTGCCTGCCGATGCAGGGGACACGGGTTCATGCCCCAGTCTGGGAAGATCCCACATGCCGTGGAGTGGCTGGGCCCGTGAGCCATGGCCGCTGGGCCTGCGCATCCGGAGCCTGTGCTTCGCAAAGGGAGAGGCCACAACAGTGAGAGGCCTGCATACCGCAAAAAAATATATACATAAATAAATAAAATAATAATAAATAAAAAAGACTTATCAAAATTGCTGAATTTTTGTGTAGCCATTTTAATACTGAAGATGGAAGAAAAATAGAAACATTTTCGGCATATTATGCTTTATTATTTCAAGAAAGGTAAAAACGCAACTGAAATGCAAAAGAAAGATTTGTGCAGTGTATGGAGAAGGTGCTGTGACTGATCGAACATGTCAAAAGTGGTTTGCGAAACTTTGTGTTGGAGATTTCTCGCTGGACGATGCTCCACTGTCGGGTAGACCAGTTAAAGTTGATAGCGATCAAATTGAGACATTAATTGAGAACAATCAACATTATACCATGTGGGAGATAGCCGACATACTCAAAATATCCTAATCAAGCATTGAAAATCATTTACACCAGCTTGCTTATGTTAATCGCTTTGATGTTTGGGTTCCACATAAGTTAAGCAAAAAAAAATATTTTCGCATGTGATTCTCTATCTAAACGTAACGAAAATGTTCAGTTTTTAAAACAAATTGTGATGGGTGATGAAAAGTGGATACTGTACAATAGTGTGGAATGGAAGAGATCGTGGGGCAAGTGAAATGAACCGCCACCAACCACACCAAAGGCCGGTCTTCATCCAAAGAAGGTGATGTTGTGTATATGGTGGGGTTGGAAGAGAGTCCTCTATTATGAGCTCCTTCTGGGAAACCAAACGAGTAATTCCAACAAGTACTGCTCCCAATTAGACCAACTAAATGCAGCACTCCATGAAAAGCGTCCAGAATTAGTCAACAGAAAACGCATAATCTTCTGTCAGAATAACGCAAGACCGCATGTTTCTTTGTTGACCAGGTAAAAACTGTTACAGCTTGGCTGGGAAGTTCTGATTTATCCACCATATTCACCAGACATTGCACCTTCGGATTTCCATTTATTTTAGTCTTTACAAAATTCTCTTAATGGAAAAAATTTCAATTCCCTGGAAGACTGTAAAAGGCACCTGGAACAGTTCTTTGCTCAAAAAGATAAAAAGTTTTGGGAAGATGGAATTATGAAGTTGTCTGAAAAATGGCAGAAGGTAGTGGAACAAAAGGGTGAATACTGTTCAGTGAAGTTCATGGTAAAAATGAAAAATGTGTCTTTTATTTTTACTTAAAAACCAAAGGCACTCTTTGGCCAACCCAATACCTAAAAGAATTTAAAGCAGGAACTCAAACAGGTATTTGAACACCAGTGTTCATAGCGGCATTATTCACAATAGCCAAAAGATGGAAACAATCCACACGTCCATCAACAGGTGAATGGATGAACAAAATGTGAAATATACCTGCAGTGGATCATTATTCAGCCATAAAAAGTAATGAAATTGTGATACATGGATCAACCTTGAACAACATGCTAAATAAAATAAGCCAGAGACAAATGGACAAATATTGTATGATTCCACTTTTATCAGGTACGGAGAATAGGCAGATTCATAGAGATGGCAAGTAAAATAGAGGTTATCAGGGAATGGGGAATTACTATTTAATAGATATGGAGTTTCTTTGGGGGATGATGGGTGATGGTAATGGTTGCGCAACATTGTGAATGTACTTAATGCCACTGAGCTATACACTGAACAGTGGTTAAAATGGTAAATTTGATGTGTGTATTACCATAATGAAAAGAAATATAGATATTTCTGGTTTGGGTAAGGCTTTAGAACTTTAGTATTAAAGTTCTAAAGAAACCCCTCTTTAGAAACATGTTCTGATAGAGACCATAGTAAAGCTATCACCAGTATAGGGAAAGGCCTCCCCAGAGGAAGATTCCATCACCTGCATCAGAGTCTGCCGGGGAGCACTAGAAGGTTTATCCTTTCATTTCTCCTTTCTAGGCTATCCATCCGGGATATGGTTTTCTCTCAGAAAACATGGAATTTGCCGAACTGTGTAAGCAAGAAGGAATTATTTTTATAGGTCCTCCTTCATCAGCAATTAGAGACATGGGTATAAAGAGGTATGAGTTTATATCTTTTTTTTTTTTTTTTTTTTGCGGTATGCGGGCCTCTCACTGTTGTGGCCTCTCCCGTTGCGGAGCACAGGCTCCGGATGCGCAGGCTCAGCGGCCATGGCTCACGGGCCCAGCCGCTCCGCGGCATGTGGGATCTTTCAGGACCGGGGCACGAACCCGTGTCCCCTGCATCGGCAGGCGGACTCTCAACCACTGCGCACCAGGGAAGCCCAAGTTTATATCTTTCAAATACAACCATAGGAAGACTAATTGAAATGGTTTGTTTTAACTATAACAGACATGTTAATTATACCCTTTTGTCATCATAGGCAAAAGTTATTTATTTGCCACTACAGTGAGTTACAGAAAATATTCAACTAATTAGTGTTTCTAATCAATATGTTAATCAGTTTTGGGGGATTAAAAACAAGGTGGGATGAGGTACCACATGAAAACTGGATTGAGAAAACTAATAGATATTTTAACATTTGTATTAATATTTGTTGTCTCAGACTATAGTCCTTTTACCTATGGAATGTTTTATTTTTAAACTTCCATTGTATTTTATAGACTAGGAAGTATTTGTGTTTCTCTTGTATGAAATAATCCATAGATTTAGGACATCTTGTTTTTTTTATTCTAAAGCACAGCCAAATCCATTATGGCTGCTGCTGGAGTGCCTGTTGTGGAAGGTTATCACGGTGAGGACCAATCAGACCAATGCCTGAAAGAGCATGCTAGGAGAATCGGTTACCCCGTCATGATTAAAGCCATCCGTGGTGGAGGAGGAAAAGTAAGATTGCGCATGCTCGTGTTTTCCATTTGGGGCTATCTAATTTGTTTTACTTATGTTGTAGTCGTAACTATCTTTCCATATTAGGGTATGAGGATCATTAGATCCGAAAAAGAATTTCAAGAGCAATTAGAATCAGCGCGGAGGGAAGCTAAGAAGTCTTTCAATGATGATGGGATGCTGATTGAGAAGTTTGTGGACACACCAAGGTGGGTTCAGCTTTTTTTTCTGACTCAAAAATTTTTTAATTAATTAATTAATTTTTGGCTGCGTTGGGTCTTCCTTGCTGTGCGTGGGCTTTTCTCTAGTTGCGGCGAGCGGGGGCTACCCTTCGTTGTGGTGCGTGGGCTTCTCGTTGCAGTGGCTTCTCTTGTTGGGGAGCACGGGCTCTAGGTGCCCGGGCTTCAGTAGTGGTGGCACGTGGGCTCAGTAGTTGTGGCTTGCGGGCTCCAGAGCTCAGGCTCAGTAGTTGTGGCGCACGGGCGTAGTTGCTCTGTGGCATGTGAGATCTTCCCGGACCAGCGATCGAACCCCTGTCCTCTGCACTGGCAGGCGGATTCTTAACCACTGCGCCACCAGGGAAGTCCTCAATTCATTTCTTGTTGATGGAATTTAGAGTCTTTTCAAAATAAAAAAAAATTCTTGTAAGAAACTAAGCTCTATCTTACAGATAAAGCATCATTTGAGATGCTCAGAAAATGGTAATAGTTAGCCAAATTGAATTGTAAGTGATATGTTAACAAATATACTAATAGCTCATCCTTATATTGCACTTAACCATGTGCCAGGTTCTAAGTATTTTACATATACTAAGTAATAATCTTGCTATTCTTCTATTTCTAGTCTAATTCCTGCAACAATCCCATTAGGTGGACCCTGTTCCCATTTTTCAGGTGAAAATACTGAGCAACAGAGTGGTCATCTGACTTGCCTGACGTCTCCCAGCTGGGAAGTGGTGAAGCTGGGATTTGAATCCAGGCAGTTTGACTCCAGAATTCACACTCTAAGTGACCACACCAAACTGCTTCTCTGGGTACCACTATAGCAGATACTATGTGGATTTCTAATTTATTTTATTATCAGGAATTTTATTTTCATATGTATTGCTTAAAATAAGATATTGATTATAAAAGCTTCTTGTTTCATAGATTTTGTGTTAAATACACACACACACACACACGCACACACACACACACACACAAACCTGTAAGTCACGTGACTTTATAGAGAAAAATTCATTTGGGGACCATGACCAGAGAGAGATTTACCTTGAAGGTAATGAACTAAAGCTTCAGGTCCTTCCTTGCATGAACCTCTTTGAAGAACCTGTACCCAATTTTGTACTCATCTTAAAGTGGGCTCCCAAATTGTTCTTGTTTCAGGCCCTACAAAACTTAGAACTGTCCCTGAGCATGGCACAGTAATTAAATTCGTTTAGAATGTGATAGTTAAAAAAAACAAAAAAGTCAATCTCAAAATAGGCCAGTTGATTAGGAGAGCACAATGGATGCCACCTATTAGTGGGAAATAAGGCAAAAATGGAGGAAGTTCTAAGGTGAATTGAAGGTTCCTTTCCACAGTAGCTTTCAGAAAAGGATAGGCTAACTATCCGCATTGGCATACTCTTGAGTTAAAATTGTCGTGGAGACATCAGCTAGCTATTTCAGGGACTGTAACTCAACGCCTGCAACATTTTTGAAGATGTAGATTCTTTACTTGTGAAATGTTAGCTAAATGTTACCTCACATTGTAATTTATACTCTCAATACCTGGGAAGCTCCTGGGAATCAAGGACCTGGTAGTTTCTTTCTTTTTATTTTCCCATATATATTACCTGGCATTATTTTCTTCATGATAGGCATCAGTAATATTTTTTTAAATATAGAAATAATATGAATACATTACAAACTTGGAAAATACAAGAGATGGAAAACCAAGTCAGTCATAAGCTCATTCTCCTAATATAAGCATTAGCATTTCTACATATTTCTCTTCTGTGTTTTCTAGTAATAACATTTCAATATCATGATAATCACTATTTTATATTCTGCTAAGTAATTATCTGTTGAGTTAGTGGAGTACCAGAAGATTGTCAGGGTGGTGCTGATAACTGAGAAAAGTAGAAATCAAGATGTATTATATAATAAATCTGATCAGAACTATTGAGCTTATCTGAAAGGTTGGGATAGATAACAATCTTCAAAGTGTACTATTTTAGAGAATTAAAAAAAAAATCAGATTCCTTCCTCACTTCATATTCAGTGCACATTCTAGAGGGATTAAAAATGTGGGAGGGTATCATGATCCCTGTTACAGATGGAGAAGCAGGGCCAGAAGGTGAAGTATCGACCAGTTCTCAGAGTCACATCTGCCTGCCGATGCCTGTCTGGCTGCTCCAGGGCCTCCAGTAACTGACCTTGTATAGCACCTTCATGAGCAGAAGACTCAGATCCAGCTCCTGACCTAACACACACATGAATCATGAGACCAGGACCCATTTCCCAGGCATGTGACCTGGGCAGTTGCACAGGGCCCTAAGCTCAGAAGGGTCCATATTTGGTTTAATACCCCGTGGAGGCATCTTAAAATTCTTAATAACATTTTAAAAGGGGCCCTGCATTTTCATTTTGCAGTGGATCCATAAATTATGTAATGGGTCCTGCATGTGACTTTGGACGAGAAAAGGAACAGATGAGATGAGGAGATCTGGCTGGGGCAGCCACAGAGGAATCAGAGGCCAGGGGTTGTGAGGGCCCTCTCTTCTCGGTTCTCAGCAGATCCCTCCATCCCCTGCTTTGAAAGGAAACAATGGCTCCTGCTTAAGAGGCTTAACCTCCCCAGCCTTTTGGGTCAAGCAGATTCTGCATATGAGTCATATCATATGATATTTGTCTTTCTCTGTCTGACTTCACTTGGTATGATGGTCTCCGGTTTCATCCATGTTGCTGCAGATGGCATTGTTTCGTTCTTTTTGGTGGCTGAGTGATGTTCCATTGATATATGTACCGCATCTTCTTTGTCCATTCGTCTGTTGATGGACATTTGGGTTGCTTCCATGTCCTGGCTGTTGTAAACAGCACTACAGTGAACACTGGGGTGCATGTAATCTTTTGAACCATGTTTTTCTCTGGATATATGCCCAAGAGTAGGATTGCTGGATCGTATGGTAGCTCCATTTTTAGCTTCCTGGGGAGCCTCCATGCTGTTCTCCATAGTGGTTGTGCCAGTTTACATTCCCACCAATAGTGCGGGAGGGCTCCCTTTCCTCCACACCTTCTCTAGCAGTTACTGTTTGTGGATTTTTTGATGATGGCCTCTCTGACCGGGGTGAGGTGATGCCTCATTGTAGTTTTGATTTGCATTTCTCAATTGTACTGTTTTTATATGAAAAAGAAATGGGACTTTTTTTTTTTTTTAACCTTTGGGTAAAACCTATAGGGAGGTCTATTTTAGTTAGATCTTTGTAACACAGCAGGTGAGGGAAAGTTTTGCGAACGTTTTTTTTTGTTTTTTTTGTTTGTTTGTTTGTTTGTTTGCGGTGCACGGGCCTCTCACTGTTGTGGCCTCTCCCGTTGCAGAGCACAGGCTCCGGACGCGCAGGCTCAGCGGCCATGGCTCACGGGCCCAGCCGCTCCGCGGCATGTGGGATCTTCCCGGACCGGGGCACGAACCTGCGTCCCCTGCATCGGCAGGCAGACTCTCAACCACTGCGCCACCAGGGAAGCCTTTGCGAACGTTTTTAAAGACAGTTGAGAGAGGGGGAGATGTTTCCAGAGGGTTGTGGAGTCTCCTCTGGGCCGAACCCTAGCAGCCACGCAGGCCACTCCTGCTCTGTCCAGTGGAAGACTGGCTACTGCACGTCTCTTCGTCTTACTGATAAAGCTTCTAGGAGGCAAATATTTGTCAAAGCCAACACCATGGGGCTTCCCTGGTGGCACAGTGGTGAAGAATCCGTCTGCCAATGTGCGGGACACGGGTTCAAGCCCTGGTTCGGGAAGATCCCACATGCCGCGGAGCAACTAAGCCCGTGTGCCACAACTACTGAGCCTGCGCTCTAGAGCCCACGAGCCACAACTACTGAGCCCACATGCCACAACTACTGAAGCCCGCACGCCTAGAGCCCGTGCTCCACAACAAGAGAAGCCACTGCAGTGAGAAGCCCATGCACCTCAACGAAGGGTAGCCCCCACACACGGCAACTAGAGAAAAGCCCATGCACAGCAACAAAGACCCAACGCAGCCAATAAATAAATAAATAAATAAATAAATAAATAAATAAAATCTATTTTAAAAAACTGTGAATAGGAAAATAAAAACTTTAGAACTCTTAGAAAATATCAAGGCATTCCTACTAGAAACCAGCTGCATCTGTCCATCTAGCCAGACCCCAGCAGTGGCTGAATTGGAGTGACTGGGATTTGATGTACTTCTTGGTTCTCAGGCACTGTGCTCCAGAATCTCTAAGTTAGATAAAGCAACACAGAAAAGGATCATCAGAAAAAGGAAAATAACAAGGGTGATTTGACAACCGCAGAAATCCTAACAGAACAGATCCTCAATGAGCTTCCCTTGTAAACAACCAAAGGAAAGTGCTTCCAACTTCTGAGAAGTCAGGAAAGAGCTATGTTGTGCTCCTGGTGTGGCCCCCGTATGTTCACTTCAGAACCTAGAGTTCCTGCTCTAGTGCCTTCTTCCCTGGAGCAGCTAAAGGATAAGGGAGAGTCAGTGGACGTGGTAAAGTTTTACAATTGGAATTTGAGAAACAAACAGCTCAGCTCCAACATGAAAAGAGCATAGAAGTTGTTACTCACACCCAAAAAGCAAGTAAAAATCTGAACAAAATAAAAATCAATGAATTTTAGACCCATCAGAGAACTGAGGCCACAAGGCAAACCACCACCCTGAAATCTGGGCAGGCAAGTGAAGACAGCAAATCACAGCCAAGATCAGCTAACCTGGAGCAGAAGCTGCGGGAGCCATAAACTGATAGGGACACTTAAATGGGAATTTTGACAAATTACTAGAGGCTGCGTGTGGACTAGCTTCATGGTGACAATTTTGGTGACAAAACCAAATTTTCATAGGTTTTTCCTCCAAGGACACCACCAAGTTCTCAAAGTGAAAATCCAAGAAAAATTCCCTCGCATTTTGGGGCAGGAGGAGGAAAAAAGAAACCATTCTGAAATAGACCCAGAGCTGTCTGTTCTCCCTACCAAAGGCCAGCACTCTAAGGGGAACTTTGCCAGAGCCTTTTCTGTCCCGGGGGAAGGGCAGTTAGCCAACTCTAGTCTTCCTGTTTCACGTAAGGGAAGAAAAAAAAAAAAAGCTAAGAAACACTTCTGAGGCACACAGGGACACAGACCCACTGAAAGACCGAGATTTAATCCTAAGATTATAGAATGCTTTCCCTCGCCCACACCCTACTGCCATGTCACCAGGGCTCCTGTATAATAACCAGGTTACAACCGAAAGAGCTGCAAGACACAGACTCTGATTAAGGGGTTCTTAGGGAAACCCGAAGACAAAAGGAGAAAAAACAAAACAAGGACACTAGAGGGAACTGAAGCCTCTGGCACCTGTAGCTACTGCAGACATTAAACACAGCCTGCCTCCTAGCCAGGCTAACATAAAATGTCACATGAAAGTTTTGTTCACCTCAGTTCCTGTTCTGTGACACATTAGGCCTGGCATTTAACCAAAAAAAATTACAGGGCGTGCTAAAAGACAAGAAAAGTATGGTCTGAAGAGAAAAAGCAAGCATCAGAACCGGACTGAAATATGACACAAATTTTGGAATTATCAGGTTTAGAGTTTAAAGTAACTAATATGTTAAGGGCCCTAATGGAGCAGTAGGTGACATGCAAGAACATATGGGTAATGTAAGCAGAGAGATGGAAACTCTAAGAAAAAAAATCAAAAGAAAATGCCAGGAATCAGAAACATTGTAACAGAAATGAGGAATGCATTTGATGGACTCAGGGTAGACTGGACACAGCTGAGAAAAGAAACAGTGACCTTGAACTTATGTCAGTGGAAACTTCCCAAATTGAAATGCAAAGAGAAATAATGAAAACAAACAAACAGAACATAATATCTGAGAATTGTGGGACAATTTTAAAAGGTGTAATATATGCATCATTTGAATACTACAAGGGGAAGAAAGAGGCAGGAGAAATATTTGAAGTAATAATGGCCAAGATATTTCCAAAATTAATGACATATACCAAATTATAGAACCAGGAAGTTCAGGGTATACCAAAAGCAGGATAAATGTCAAAAATTTTTTGAATCACACTAAAACTGCAGGAAACCAAAGACAAAAAAAGTCTTGAAAAAAGCTACAAGGGAAAAACACCTTATCTATAGAGGAGCAAGGATAATAAATACATCAGACATAGCTAGTAGGAAGCAGCCACATAGCACAGTGAGTTCAGCTCAGTGCTTTGTGACCGCCTAGAGAGGTGGGATAGGGAGGGTGGGACAGAGAAGCAAGAGGGAGGAGATATGGGGATATATGTATATGTATAGCTGTACACTTTGTTTTACAGCAGAAACCTACACACCACTGTAAAGCAATTATACTCCAAAAAAAATGAAAAAAAAAAAAGAAATACATCAGACTTAAGAATAGAGTGGACTGTTGAAATAAACACTGCATATTTTCAAGCAAAAAAAAGAATAGAGTGGAGTAAAATATTTATAAAGGGTTGAAAGAAAAAAAATCAACCTATAAATTCTGTGTCCAGTGAAATTATCTTTCACACTTGAAGGAGAAATAAGGACTTCCTCAGGCAAGCAAAAATTGAGGGATTTTGTCACCAGTAGACTTGCTTTACAAGAAATGGTTAAGTTCTTCAGGGAGAAGGAAAATGATGCAGGTCAGAAACTTGGATCTCTTTAAAGAAAGGAAGAGCGATTGAGAAAGAATAAACAAAGGCAAAATAAAATCTCTTGGTTTTTTTATTCTTAATTGATCTCACAGATAAGTTTATTCAAAATAATAATAGCAAGAATGTGTTTGGTGTTAGTAGCTTAAGGGTAAGTAAAAATAGGAGGAAAGATCAAGGAAGCACATCCAAAAGGAAGAAGTCAGCTCCTATTATTTTGTCAAGAGAATATGTTGGACAAGTTGGGAAATTTTTAAATGGAACATTCAGTAGAAATGATATATCAAGAAAAAAATTCTTCCAAGTGGTTTAATGAAGTGTTTCATGAGGTAAACAGAAAGGAAGAGAAATGAGCCACTATGCTGAAATAGTACATTTATAAGACTTTATGGGTTTTTAAAAAAATTTCTTCTATGTTTGACAATTTTTATTTTAAAAACTCAACAGAGGGCTTCCCTGGTGGCGCAGTGGTTGAGAGTCCGCCTGCCGATGCAGGGGACACAGGTTCGTGCCCCGGTCCGGGAAGATCCCACATACCGCGGAGCGGCTGGGCCCGTGAGCCACAACTACTGAGCCTGCGCGTCTGGAGCCTGTGCTCCGCAACAAGAGAGGCCGCGATAGTGAGAGACCTACGCACCGCAATGAAGAGTGGCCCCCGCTTGCCACAACTAGAGAAAGCCCTCGCACAGAAACGAAGACCCAACACAGCAAAAATAAATAAATTAATTAATAAACTCCTACCCCCAACATCTTCCAAAAAAAAAAAAACTCAACAGAAAAAAATGTTTGCTGGTCACTCATTTCTGTATTATGGTGGTGAATGTGTGAGGTGAGCTACAGTGTGAACATATCAAAATGAATCTCCTGAGAAGAATGCTTTCATGTTCACCAAATGGTCTGTGTTACCCTTATTTTCTTAAGTGTTATGTGCATTTACTCTTTCTATTTTTTAAAAAAATTAAGTTATTTATTTATTTATTTTTGGCTGTGTTGGGTGTTCGTTGCTGCACACGGGCTTTTCTCTAGTTGCAGTGGAGCAGGCTTCTCATTGCGGTGGCTTCTCTTTTTGTGGAGCACGGGCTCTAGGCACACGGGCTTCAGTAGTTGTGGCATGAGGCCTCAGTAGTTGTGGTGCATGGGCTTAGTTGCTCCGCGGCATGTGGGATCTTCCTGGACCAGGGCTCGAACCCATGTCCCCTGCATTGGCAGGCGGATTCTTAACCACTGCGCCACCAGGGAAGTCCTGCATTTACTCTTAATATGATTTCTGATAATTTTACTATTTTACACTCAACATTAAAGTTCCTTATCTTGTTTTTTATGATTTAATTTTAGTATATTCTTAAAAAACGAATGATCCATATAAATTTATTTCTTAACCTTTCTATGGATGAGCCATTATAATTTCCAGTCTGCCTTAGTTTATAAAATCTGACTGTAAGAGTTGCTTTTTTAAAATCCCCTGATCATAAAAATGTGTTTTCATTGACTTTTTGAGGATACATGAATTGTGACTGTAACTTGTAATTCTGATGTATTCAGATTTATCAGTCTTTTCCTTGGCAGTTTGTACTTGTGACTTGCCCCTACTGTGAGGTCATAAATATGGTCTCCAGTGTTTTCTGTCTTTTCTTATTTCTCACTCATTTCATATATATAATTTTTTTTCTTGAATGTTCAACCTACAAATGGAAACTTCTCATTGGGTTTTTAAATAGGCATGTGGAAGTCCAGGTGTTTGGTGACCACCATGGCAATGCTGTGTACTTGTTTGAAAGAGACTGTAGTGTACAGAGGAGACATCAGAAGATCATTGAGGAGGCCCCAGGGGTAAGAATCTTGTAAAGAAATTTGTCAACTTCTGTATATTGTAAATCTCAGTCACTGACTTTTGGGTCAGAAATCTGTGAAGCTAGTATTCCCCCAAAGTCCTGCTGAACAACCATTCCCCAGTAGTAATACAGCCTCACTGCAGTGTTGGGGATGAGGAAGGGTTGATATTCTGGGGCTGCCATACTGAGGGCGCACTAAGACCATGATCCTTCTGGGTGATATCTGGGAAAATCTGCTCTGATCCAAGTAGTATCTGACTTACAGTGAACAGCTACCATTTCCATGCAGATTTTAAATTGTAATTAACTAGTGTGTTTGAGGAATGGAATGGTCTTGTTCATTGAATGTATTTTTTATGAAGAACATT